AAAAAAAAAAAAAAAAGGTATCATCTCTTCTCCATTCCTCTGGGCCTTCATGGATTAGGTGCCTTCTCTTAAAGGAATTCTCCGCCGAATCTCCCTTCTCCAGCGATGCTGCGGGAGGTGGCCAGGGCCGCCGCTGTGGAAGCGGAAGTGGTTTTAAGGGTCTCAAGACGCGAGCCCGGAGCTGGACCAGAACTTCTGTCCCTGCGGCGGCGGCGGCCACAGCCAGGAGGCGGTGCTGCCATCTGCTGGCCGGAGAGGGGACGCGCCCGCGCCCGTCCTGTTGGTGGGAGGCGGAATCGCAGCCTGAGCCGGACGCAGAGCCGGGTCGGTGCCGCAGTGTGTGACAGGAAGGTCACATAACTGGTCTGCGGCATGGTCGGGGCCGGAAACCAAGTGCAGGGCTCCTGCAAACCTGATGCTCTCTCCTCTGGACTCGGGCGCGGGCCAGGGCAGACCTTCGCAATGCAGTCTGGGAGTTGCCGAGCTGCCCTTCCAGTAACCGCCGGCCTGCCTGCCTGCCTTCTCCCCGTCCGCCTTCTCCAGCCTCGCCCGGGCTTTGTTTGGGCTTGCTCAGAAGCCAGTCAGATAAAGGGAAAGAAGCTTTTGAAGTTTAGGGGAAGGAAGGATTGTGGGCACCCTCACATCCCAGCTCCTCGCCAGACGCTTTAGTTCTAGTCATTTAATGGCAGGCCCTGCCCCAGGCCGGGGGAGATGGGGGTGGGGGTGCGTAGGGAGGAGGGCACACTCACCTCCAGGACAGCGCAGCCTCTGTGGAATGGGCCCCCAGATGCTCGGCCCACATCTCCTATAAGCTCCAAACACCTCTTTTCTGTTGGCTAAGCCGTGCTCACAGCTGTCCTCTAATGTGCACGCCCAGGCTGTCCCACACACTCACCCATCTTCCCCCCCACTTGCCCTCCACCCACTCCAGGAAGGGACAATGTAACCCAAATAACTTGTTGCTGAGGCAGTTCAGCTAAGTCTTCTGAGCTGTCCGGCTTTTGTGGGTGCCACTGTCCACCACTCTATTCTTACCACGGCGCAGGGGGCTAAGCGAGCTTTACTGGTGCACCTGCTTCCGCTAATGGATTTATGAGCTTGCCAAGGTCAAGGACTGGTCTTTTATGTCCTTGTAGCATAACCTCCACTCCTTAATCAGTTCCTGGTACGTGGTGATTCGTCAAGACATGTTAGTCGGATGAATAAATAAGTGAATGAATAAGGTGAATGGTATACGAAATAATGAAGGCAGTTAGAAAGCAAGTAACTTTTACGTAGAACCATGAGACGAGTACCCAACTTCTAGAAGAACAACTTTGAAGGGGATGATACTTACACGCAGGTTACTATTTGATGTGTTTATTTTAAAATCAGTCATCGGTCTAATAATTTTTTTACTTGTGTGGCACATTGTCATTTCCAACACCTTTTCACCTCTGTCATCTGCGATCCTCACACCCATGCACTGAAACAGGGAGGTTAGGTGACGAGCCACAGGAATAAAGTATGTGTGTGGCAGAGCTCGTGTTGGAACGTAATGCTGTAATTTCCCAGGCAGCTGTTCTTCCCCCGTCCCAGGCCACCAGGCCACCAGGCACGGTTATGTTACCAGGATGAAAAGTACGCGCACCTCCGCTTTTTGCAGGACAATGAAATACTGGCCTACTAAAGAGACACCTGTCTGGTGGCACCGCCTGTGGAAATCACTATGAGAAATCCAGGTGTGCATTAAAGCAGGACATGGCGAGGCCCATCAGGAGAACCTCCTCCTGGGACCAGAAGAGGACTGGAATCAACAAATGGAAATCCTGGTGCACCTGCTTGAGAGGGCCACCTGGCTCCATGGAATGAGCCAGCACAAGGGAGCTGTGGCAGTGCAGAGGTGGGCTGAGGCTACATGGATTGCACTTGTACCCTCAGAGGCACAAAATGCCACTAAGAACTGTTCTTTCTGGGGGCGCCTGGGTGGCTCAGTCGGTTAAGCGTCTGCCTTGGGCTCAGGTCATGATCCCGTGATCCCAGGCTCCTGGGATCGAGCCCCGAGTCTGGTTCTCCCGCTCCCCCTGCTTGTGCTCTCTCTCTCTCTCTGTCAAATAAATAAAGTCTTAAAAAAACCACAACTGTTCTGTCTGCCAACAAAGAGAGGCAGTGACTGCAGGTGGCCCTGGGGCACATTCTCCAGCGTCTGGGAAATGAAGTTGAGTGCTATTACTTTCTTTTCCTTTCTTTCTTTCTTTCTTTTTTAAGATTTTATTTATTTATTTGACAGAGAGGGACAGCGAGAGAGGGAACACAAGCAGGTGGAGTGGGAGAGGGAGAAGCAGACTCCCCGCTGAGCAGGGAGCCCGATGCAGGACTCCATCCCAGGACTCCAGGATCATGACCTGAGCCGAAGGCAGTCGCTTAACCAACTGAGTCACCCAGGCGCCCCAAGCGACTTGTTTCTTGAAACATTTTCAGTAGTTAAGGACAATTTATGCAGTAAATAGTTGGGGGGGAAATGTATCCAGAGCAACTTTTCTCTCGATTGTTGTAATTCTGTGTGGTAAAGTACCCCCCCACCCCCACCCTGCAAAAAAAAGTGGAGGGTAGAGGGGGTGAGTGCCAAGACGTACAGTAAAAACATCTAGCTTAGCGTAGGTGCTGTTCTTGGTACTGTTTTAATTCTCGAATACCCAAAAGTGACTATCTTCGTTCCCTGGATCCTCCACGTTCCACAGAGACCCAGGATACTTTCAGCTTCCAAATAACCTTCAGAACCCAGCTTCAAAGAGCTGTTCTAGATTGAGCTAGATCTATCAGCAGATGCCTGATCTTGACCCACATCCCAGAATTCCTTTGGATCCATTACATCATACACCCCTTCACCGGCACCTACTGGGTCTGCCCAGTTCTGCTCTAGGCACTTAACTAACAAAATCCCTGACCTCGGGGCCCCATTCTAAGAGGGAAAGGGAATGAGGACATGGGATAGTGGTAAGCAGTTTGAAAACAAACAAACAAACCACACACACAAATCCATCAACAGGAGGGAATTTCTTTTATCTTTCAGTGTTTTCCCAGTTGCTTTTGACAAATTGTTGTGTCCTCTTGCCATGGAAGACAACACTGTCTCACATGAGATACCTTACTGGTATTTTAACATTTACTGACTGATTCTCCACTTATTCTGTGTTCTTTTTCGTCTTTGTTTTCTGTGTTCTCTTTCTTTTCCATTCACCTAGTGTATCAGTTAGCTATTGCTGTGTAACAGACCACCCCAAAACATAATGGCTTAAAACAGCCACCATATTTATTTGGCTCCCAATTCTGTAGGTTGGTTGGGCAGATCTGGCCAGGAGAGTCCAGCTGATCTCTGCACCTGCAGTTGGCTGGACTGTCTACAGTGGTCTCAATCACAGTCTGTTAGTGGACAGGTGGTTGGCCTGAGAGGCAGCCCTGGGATATTGTTTTCTAACCACTTCAGGTGCATATCGTGTGGCCCTGACAGCCGGCATGTCCCTTCTGGAGAAGTTGGAGGACCTGCACTCCTCCGGATCCCCCACGACACATTAGGGGATGCAAGTTCTGGGGCCCCCAGGTAGGAATAAGGATGTTTAGTTGAAACTACAGGCTTTTGGCTACTGAGCTTACGATTCCAAAGTTGAAAGCTTAAGCACAATATTTGACTTCTCAAGGAGAGTTTTCCTGGATTGGGAGAAAAGTTGACTTTGGGTTATATTGAACCTGTCTTTTGCAGTCGGGGCTATTGTGTTATTGTTGTTTCTAACTTTAGAATCTCTGGATTGGAAGGGAGGGACAATAAGGGTTGTGAAGTGCGAGCACCCACCTGATACTTGAAACACCAGTGTCTGCTCAGGCCTCCTCCCCCAGGAGCCAGAGGGCTCACTGTGCCTCCCAGCAGCCCGCCTTCCCTGGCTGTCCTGGCTGGGGCCCTGGAGCCCCCTTCCTCACTGCTGAGGCCAAAGGGCCTCCTCCATACTAGTCCATCCAGAGTTTTCTTCACATTGCTCCAGATCATAGCTTTTTGGTTTTTTATTTTAAAACAGGAAAAATAGTTACCTGGTCTTAGATACCAAAGAAGCAATACCCTTACTAGTTATGATAGGATCAGGCCAAAAGAATTATACTCTCGGTAGGTACATGAGAGAATATTTGAAATGTTTTTAAGCACCTGTTTGTACAAAGTGATCAGTTCACAATTGATCATATCTTTGGGTGATACCCAACATGCTGGTTTCTTAGGTGCTCACAATTTCAGTGGGTTGCAGGTGCCCATCTTAGTCCTTAAAACTCTGATCCCAGTTACAAGGGTTGAGGAATTCTGTGGCAGCTACGAAGATAAGGGTACTTCCTGAGGAGGAATATTATATTGTATAGAAATTCCCGGATACAGAAGTAGATGGAATAATGTAATATGCCTCTGTGCACCAGCTTTAACAATCACCAGAGCATCTCCAACTTTGTTTTAAAGTCAGCCCTGGACATACTGTTCCTAAGATGTCTTCTTGAAGACATTCAGAAGAAGGAACTCATGATGCTGGAACCCTAATATTACCACTTTAATGATTGCTTCTGCCCCTGTCCCTGAATGGACCACCGGTTTTCCCAAACCCCTAATTGTCCTTCTCTTCTCCAGGGCCCAGTCATATATGCGCAGTTAGACCACTCTGGTGGACATCACAGTGACAAGATTAACAAGTCAGAGTCTGTGGTGTATGCGGACATCCGGAAAAATTAAGAGAAGACCCAGAACATATCCTAAGCAAGAAACAAATGAAAGGGGACACTTATGCAGAAAATGTAGCCCATAACCACCTGTGGCCTTGGAGAGCTGGGCAAGGACAAGCACATGTTCATTCATGGAAGGAGAAAAAGATGTGTATAAAGGATATGTATAAATATTCTATTTAATCTGATACGGGGAACCAATGTTGCATGATGAAAAGATGGTATGATTCTACGTATGTATAAATTTTCTTGCTGTTTTGTACTTTCTTTCAGGGTCCTTTACAGTTGGGAAAAGTCAGAAACATTCCTGTTGCTGTCATTTAGATGTGGTTGGCCTTCCTGGAGATGGTAGCAGGTCTTTAGTATTCCAGTAGACATGGCCCTTCTGTCTCAGGGCTTAACCAGTCTTTGCATTTATCGTGGTTGGAGAGTGGAGACGCTATCCTGGTGTCATGCCCAGGGTGGCCTCTAACAGAAAACCTCCGTTAGCCGTGCCCCTTGAACACAGTTCGGGAAGTTTTTGTTGGTATTTTGGTTTTTTGCTTTGTATGTTGAGACCGACCTTAATGTTACACCCTTGATCATATCAGTTGGTGGATTTGTCATAGCAAGGCCAGCAAAGGATAAATGCCAAGGTCACCTCTTTCTAGGTACTTTTAGATCAATATCATACACGTAATTGAAGTAGGAACCCCAGGTCTTGCTTGAGGAGTACGGTGCCATTTGGAGAGTCCTTCCTGCTTGAAATAAGGGTCCCCATACAGCCGACGGAGAGGAGTTTCATTTCCTTTTAAGTAGGCACAAATTGGGATAATTACAAAGCCAGTCTGTGGCATCCCGGAGCTATCTCTAGAGAACCGTCTTTCTAAAAGCTTCTGTCATGATTCCAGCGAGAGGTGGCATTGGTCACGGCTCTGTAATAGCTTCACGGGGCCTCAAAGGTTAAAGATAGTCTAGATTTTTTAAATCAGTAGGTAGGGTTATTAGCACTTCTGCTCTGGAAGTCTCTTCTCTGTTACTGTTTGGGCGTTTGGGGTGGGGTTTTTTTGGTTTTTCTTTTTTTGTTTTTACTTCCCCCCCCCCACTTTTTCCCATTACGTGGAATTGATAAATAAGGAGGTGAGGGGAAATGGGGGTATCCTTTCCAAGAATTCATCGTCTTCACTGACTACCCTCCTTACCCCGTCTCGAGCCGATGAGTTTTTATCTTTTACTGGGGATGAAAAACATGGGGAAGGTCAGCGAACACTTGTTTTTATTGTCATCCCCCCCCCCTTTTTTCTGGATGATTTTAACAGAATTTCTTTGCCACTTAAAATGATGGGCGAGCCCCCCAGTCGGGCAGGACCCCGGCTAGCCGGGCGCAGAGCACATTCGGCCCAGGCTAGTTTTCCTGCCGCGGGGTTCAGGCGCGCCCGGAGCGGCTCGCTCTGCCTGCCCGCCTGCTGTCACCTCCGGGCGATGACCCCGAAGCCAACTTTGTAGAGGCTCCCAAAGGGCGCCGGGCGCAAAGCGGTGCGAGCTGGTATGGGGGCACCCGGGGCTCGCCCGACACATTTCTGCAAAGTGGGCGACTTCGCCGTGCCCCCGGGAACTTCCCTGCATCCATTCGGAGAACCACAGGAGCCTCTGAAGCCCTGTGTGTACATGTGTGTTTGGGGGGGCGGGGTGCTGGGATCGTCACCCTTCTTCCAGCTGATGATGATGTTGTTCTTGGTGAGCCTTTGCCACCCGAGGAGCGGACAGCTGACCAAGACCGCCGTGAGGTAGAAAGGACACAAATTGTTGAGAGACCAATTCGTCTGTGTAATGTTTCCTTGAGTCCTTTTTTACAGAGAAAAGGCGCATTGTCCTTTTTCTCCACAGGTCCTGCGAATAAAGTAGATGTTCCTAATACCTCCTGAAAGCGACAGTCCCGGTTCCTCCTTTCCTTGTGGGGACGGGGACTTGGGATGCAAGGGGCACCCAGTGCAGCGACACTTGGTGCTGACAGCTGCCTCCTCGGCCCCGGGGCTTTCTCCTAACCGCCTCTGGATTTTTTGGCCCTTTCTCTTGCGACCCAGTGTCCCTGTGCCTGGCCACAGATGACAACAGTCGGGTAGCAGGGCTGCCCTTCCCACGTCTAATTAGTGGCAGAAGGAGACCTTTTAACGTTCCGTGTGATCAGGGGCCACCTAGAAGCGATTACTTAAGAGGTGAAAATCCCAAACCACCTATAGGTTTTCAGTGGAAATGTATCCAGCTAGGGAAAAACCCATTGAGTTCGTTGTTATTTTTTGTTTTTCTTCCTTCTTCCAGATTGTTGTACTTTTGTGGATATTTTAATACATCTTTTTCAATTACTGAATTGTGTCATGTGCTCATTTTTAGCCAAGTAGAAAAAGAGATGAAAGCCTTTTCATTCATGCCCCTCGGGTCCCACTGGCCTCCTCATTCTTCAGGAACACCACGCATTGCCAGCTTCAGGCCCTTTGCACCTGCTGTCCCCTCTGCCTGGAGCTTGTGTTCGGCACCTATTTGGGTGGTTTGCTCCCTCCCTTCCTGTAAGTCTCCGCTCACCTCAGAGAGACCTTCTGCCATATATAAAAGAGCAGCCTCACCCCCTCCACTGGCTCCCCAGCCCCCTCAGGCTCACTCTGTGTTTCTCCTTCTGTCCAGCCGTACATGTGCTTGTCTGTTGGAGCACGAGCCCCAGAGCTTTGCTGTTCTGTTCGCTGCTCCATCTTCAGCGCATGGATTAGTGCCTGGCGCTTGGCAGGGGCTCAACAAGTGTTGACCAATTAGGTGATGGATGTTATTCATTCAACACATTTATATCGAGAACTGTCCTGCCCCAGGCAGTGTGCCAAGCATGAGAAAGTAAAATGAACAAGACAGAGCTCCTCAAGGACCTTGCCACAGAGTAGGGGTAACAGGGGACATAACAGTAATAACTGATAGCTACTAAGTACTTGCCATGTGCCAGGCACTCTGCATAGCATGATGACGGTGCACTAGTCCTAATCTTAACCCCACTTTTAGTTAGTTAGTTAGTTTTAAGATGTTCTTTATTTGACAGAAAGAGACACAGCGAGAGAGAGAACACAAGCAGGGGGAGTGCGAGAGGAAAAGGTAGGGCCGGCGGGATCGCCTGTGGGAGCGGATCTCCCGTGAGCCACGTCCCTCACATGTGATGTGGCAAAAAGAGGAGAGACGCCTCCCTCAGCGCGCGGAGGCAGAGTACTGGGGAGTTGCCTCCGGCTGGGGCTCTGGTTTCCAAGCTGCATGGGGAACATGCCAACCAAATACGCACTTGTTATTTCCGAGGGCGGCCGCTGCCCTAGGCGGGCTGGTTCGGCAGTATTTCAGAGGAAACTTCAGACACTCTCTTCCCCGCTTAAAGCTGAACGCTCCCCCCTGATCCTTCCGGATGATTCCAGTGCTAACCAGGTTGGGTTTAGGGCCCGAAGACTTAATCCTCCCAACTGCCCGTGACGGTTGAGGGAGCATTCTCTTAGAGGAGGCAAGGGGCTTTTGTAGTGGTGGAGGTGGTGCAAGGAACTGACCGTCTGATTTTATGGCAGGTTCCCACATGTACACATTGTTCCTGTATATTCGAGATCTTTTATTATGGAGAATTTCAAACAGGCACAAAAGAGAACAGTAAAACCCACTTCCACATATCCATCCTCAATGATTGCTTCATCCACTCCTTTGTTCTTTTTCCTCTTTTCTGAATTATTGGAAGACAAATCCCAAAACATGTCAGTTCACCTGACATTCTTTGGGCATCTTTAAAAATATGTAAATTTTCTTCCATAACCATAATGTCACATGTAACAAACTTTTTTTTTAAGGTTTATTTATTTATGAGAGAGAGTGTGTGCGCAGGGGGAGGGCTAGAGGAAGAGCTCTGAGCCAGACACGGGCTTGATCCCATAACCCAGAGATCAAGACCTGAGCGGACACCAAGAGGCCGATGCTCAACTGACAAAGCCACCCAGGCGCCCCTAACAGAAACGTTTAAAGAAAAACCGCACATTTAAAAAAAAAAAAAGAAATCTTGCCATTTGCAATGACATGGATGGCACTAGAGTGTTATGCTAAGTGAAATAAGTCAATCAGAGAAAGACAATTATATGATCTCACTGGTATGTGGAATTTAAGAAACAGAACAGCAGATCATAGGGGAAGAGAGGAAAAAATAAATCGAGATGAAACCAGAGAGGGGAGACAAACCATAAGAGACACTTAATCATAGGAAACAAACTGAGGGTTGCTGGAGGGGAGAGGGGTGGAGGGATGGGGTAACTGGGTGATGGACATTAAGGGGGGCATGTGATGTAATGAGCACTGGTGTTATACAAGACTGATGAATCACAGACCCGTACCTCTGAAACTAATACATCATGTTAATTGAATTAAAATAAAAAAAAACCACATTTAAACAAATAATTCCTTGACTACAGGGCGCATGGGTGGCTCAGTCGGTTGAGCGTCTGCCTTCGGCTCGGGTCATGATCTCAGCGTCCTGGGATGGAGCCCCGCGTGGGGCTCCCTGCTCCTCGGGGAGTCTGCTTGTCCCTCTCCCTCTGCTCGTGCTCTCTCTCTCGCTCTCTCTCAAATAAATAAAATCTTTAAAAAAAATAACGATTCCTTGATTTCATCTAAAACCTAGTTCATACTCAAACTTCCCCTTATCTCAAATATGGCATTTTACAAATGGTTTCTTCAAATCAGGATCCAGACATGGCCCCAGTAACGATGTCGCGCCTGTTCCGGAAACAAAGACGGGACTGTAGTACCCTGCAGTTCGCTGTCTTCCCTCAGCATTGTGTCAGAAGCTTCTGTGCGAGCGCGGGAAAACTAGGCCATTGGCCATTAACTACACCCAGGGGGCCTTCTCTTGGGTAGATGCACCATATTTTAAACCATTTCTGACTTCCTGGATATTTGCTTCTAGTTGTCTTGTTTTTGTCCATCCCAAGCAGTCCTGTAATTGTCACTCGTTCTCATGAACTAGTGAAGAAGGAAGGCAAATGTAAATTATTTGCAGTTCCGGAGCAGCAGAACAGGATGAGACGAGTCCTCCCGGCCCCTGGAAAGGGGATGTGGGAGTGACGGTGGTGGCCCTCCAGCTCACTCCCCGTCACATCCTTCCTAACGCCACCGGGGCTGGCCCAAGGGCCACTGACGGGGCTGTAAGGACAAGAGTTGGGGGCAGGAGGCAGGCGGGAGCTCTAGCACCTACAGGGGACCTGGCTGTGTTTACAAGGAAGGAAACGCAAACCTTTCTAGCCCCCAGAGTCCTGGACGAGCTGCCGCTTCCAGCTTCCCTTTCCTCCTGCAAACAGGATGTTCAACTTTGTCCCCTCTCGGCTCAGGTTCGGGTTTGATTGTCCACCCGTTCCTTCACTGGGAGCCTCGTGGCCCCTGCCTGCAGTGCTCCCAAACATAAGCAAGGGCTGGGTTCTTTTCTTTTCTTTTAATCTCCACAATTGGGAAGAGGAAGTCTGGCAGGTTTAATATTCCCACATTGGCTTTGGAGCCCTGCCCTCCAGTGCTGCGTGGCTGACACATTTGGGGCTCACTTTGCCCTCCTGTGCCCAAGTCACTGCTCTGCCGAGGGAATGGGGGACAGGGGCGAGCTAAGGCCGGCTTGCCGAGGGCCTGAGGTTTGCCCTCCCCTGCCACGGACTCCAAGGACACTGAGCTTTGACTCCAGATCCATTCTCGGTTCTTTCTCCGGCTCTGAATGGGGTTCTTTTTTTAACGACAGAGTGTCTTTCAACTCGATAAAAGAAACATAAATGTTTAATTTATTTTGTAGGGAATCTCTTAAAATGTACAAGAGACCCAGACGAATGCGGAGCGTGGCGCAGAGAAGCCCCGCCCTGGCTCTAGCGGGCCCCGCGGAACCCCAGAGGGTGTGTTTCTAACGTGTCTTGACGTTTCCAGCTGAGTAAAAGCCCCGGCCTTTTCTGCGCCTAAGCCGTTCCTGAAGCTGGTTGCTCTGCCAGAGGGAGACGTGTTTCTGAAAAGCTTGCCCTGGGGATTTTGGTCCCAAAGAAGGTAAAATATCTGCGGGCCACGTGGGTGCTGGTGGCCAGCACAGGCCACGCCGAGCTCCGGGGTTCAAGCCCGTGAAACAGCACCGCGCCCCGGGAAAGGAGCGCACGCAGAGGTGAGGCGTGAATCCCTCTGACACATGCACGCGCCTCAGGACAGGCAGGCGCGGGGAGAGCAGGCCGAACTAAATGACTTAATGTTGACTAAGTGAGGTTGAGCAAGAGTGAAGAAAGCCCACGGGAGGGAAGCAAGCAGGAGAGCTCACACCTGGCTGGAAATAATTGGCCTCCTTCCCATGAGAGAAAGTGCAAGACTTGGCTTCCTATTGAGCATTTTGTCTATTGCAATTCATTCTGGGCTTTTAGACAAGGACTGTTCCAGGGTTCCCTCGCGTGCCTCCTCCTGCAGGTCAGCAGGCATGCATTCGACTGGTTGCAAAATGCAATCCCTTCTCCGGGAGGCCAAGGGCAGATAGGGAGGAGGATAGAAGTATAAAGCAGCCTAGTCGATATATGACCCGGGCATTAGATGAACATCAGAGCTGTTGTCAAGCACTTGTCTGGCATCCTGGAATCCCATTAGATGGAGAAATACCTCTTGATAAGAGGTTTAGCCTACCCAGCATGATACATTTTCTCTTAAATATTAATAACTCCCCTCTGGAGCGCCTGGGTGGCTCAGTTGGTTGGGTGACTGCCTTCAGCTCAGGTCATGATCCTGGAGTCCCTGGATCGAGTCCCGCATCGGGCTCCCTGCTCAGCAGGGAGTCTGCTTCTCCCTCTGACC